CACCCCGTCCGAGCAGCATTCCAGCCAGATGACCCCAAGGTTTCGTCTCGCTCAGCAATGGGCCACATCTGCTGCTTTCCAGTCATGTTCATCCCAGCGACCCGACTGCCTGCTCAGTGCATCTGGTGCCTCCAACGCACCCCCCCAGTGGTTCGGCTGCCCCCACGCTCTGGGAACTTCCCCCCCACACACGACGAGCCCCGATGATCGCTGATCGCTGGTCGCTGACGTGTGGCATTTCGCATCTGGCAGCTGAATATGCCGAGACCTGTTTGCGTCAGTCTGGAGCTGCCGCTGAGGTACAGTCATCCCGACCGATGACAAGGTCACCAAAACGCACCAAAGATGCGATGATACGCGGATTGGGATCCTTGGGTTTCCCCGTCACTGATCCTGACACGTTTGGCGATTCTTGACATGATGCTGATATATTCGTGCATTATCCGCCAATGCATTGAAGCTCCTCATAACGTGTACTGCTGCACCTGCATCATCCTCCCAGCCACACATGGTCATCCTCATTACTCATAGATATCGCTGCCTCCCTCCGAGGGGCCCAGCTAGTCATGCTGCCTTAGAACACAACACACATTATGCCGCCTTCAGCAGCCCCCGCGCAAACTCGTCCACCGCCCCGACCAGCGCAGACAGCGTGCCTTCCTCCTGCCAAGTGTGCCCCGCCCCCGTGACCTCGACGCCGCGAAACTTCGACCCCGGCCTCGCCTCGAGCCTCGCGCCCCACGCCCGCAGCTTGCCGATGGCGACGAAGCCGTCTCGGTCTCCGAACACGGCGAGCGTCGGGCACGTCGCGAGCTTGGCCTCGGCCGCCTCCCCGGCGTCTTCGATCCAGTTGACGTCCCCCGCCGGCGACGCCGACGGCGCCCGCGCCTGCTCGTGGGCCGCGGTGCCGCGCCCAGAGCGGCACGAACGACATGGTTCGTCAGGTGATGCCCCTGCAGCGGCGACGACACGAGGCGTACGCCGGTCTGAGGCTTCGTCAGGTTCGGCGATCCTCGGCAGCAGGAACCGCCTGCTCG